TCTCTTTTCTTTTACACTATCCTGCTGGAGGGTGGAGGCAACTACACCTCAGCAAGAAATCCTGATTCTGACAGCAGCAACACCACATTCCTGTTACCATTCCTGATCCTGATAATGCTGTTCTTCCTCATCTGTGGTCAAATAAATCCCGAATGTCCATGGTCTCAAGCTCACGTTAAGTATAAGCACAGGGGTGTATCCTGATCTGAAAGGTTTAAATCTTTCCACCATGTTTATGCATGAAAATAAAGTATGTAGAGAAAGGGAATAGAGCTAGGATGTAGATAATGGGAGAATTCACCAAATTCAGGGGATAACAGGAGAAAGATCAAAATAGGATGCCAAGAGATCAGATCACTAACTATAAAAAGGCATCTCTGATTTCTGTGTCCCATTGCATTAACTCCTTCAGTTGAAGAAAGGCCTGTACCTCAAATGAGTTGGATTGTTGGTAGTTCTACATTAGTACAGCCTGTTTTCTGTGGTTTGTCCCTGGGCTTGTGATATTATTTGACTATCATTCAAATTCAGCATAGATATTGCAAAACCAACAACAACAAAACCCACAACAACCTCTGCTTCCACTATACAAATACAGGATAGAAACCCCTCAGTCCTTTTGTGGTTCGAGTGACCCTGGCAGGGTGTTGAACACCTCTAAGAGAATCTAGAGAGAAGGTCCTTCAGACCCTGGAAGTCCCAGGAGGGTCAGAGCAGGGAGGGCTCGATATTCCCCCACTTGCTGCCATCCTCTATCAAACCCAGGAGAACTGGCAGCTCAGCCCTTGTCCTTCCTGTTCCTCCTTCCTTGCTGCTTGTGCTTGGAGATCCTTCGGTTGGTCCGGTGCTCTCCAGAATCCAACTCCAGCTGGTGCTGCCAGGAGCTGTGGAGCCCTCTCCTGAAGCAGCCTTGCTACAAGGGACCCTCACCCACTTCTTCCTGCCACCAGCCAGGTGGGGTTTGTGGAGATTGGGATCTCAGGGGAGAGATCGGTTCTTTCCCCCACATGTTCCTCCATTTCCACGGTTGTAGGAAATTCCTGCCTGTTCCCATTTCCAGCCCTTCAGTCTCTCTTCTTTATTCCCCTTCTATCTTCCCTTGGGAAGGTGGAGGGGGGGAAATAGGGAGAAATTCTGCCTTCCACTTTGTGGTTCACCCTGTGTTGGAACCAGGACAATCCCCACAAACTCCTAAGGTTGGACCTCATGCAATCTAATTAGCTGAGCAACAAATATTGCTCAACCCTTCTTGGTCATTCAAGAGACTGGACTTGGCTGTACAGGTGGATATTTCCACCATCAGACCAGACTGGTCATCTTTTTGGATGCTAGCTACACTGGATGGTCCTCCTGGGGCAGTGTCCTCTGGTATCCTCATTTTAAGAGAGATACAACAGGCCTTTTGGGAACTGGACCACATGTATTAAACACCATCGATGCAAAAATATTTGCCAACTGTGGCCAGGCAAAGGTGAGAGATATTAACTCCCTTATTGTCATTATTAGCAAACTTAAGTAATTTTCATCATGAAATTCGAAGATTATAGAAGCCTTTAGAATTTATAATTAATGTTCTAGGCCTAGTATAAAACTTGCTAACTAAGTTGCCAACATTTTAATGGTTAACCTTTATTGTTTGATCTAACTACAAGTAGTAAATTTCATTTTTAAGATTCCTTTTGCATTCCAACTTCTGTTCCAACCTCCCTACAATTGGACTTTGCTTGTGCCTCTACTTTAAGGAGTTAAGATCCCAGTGTTATATGCAATAAATCTCAATCTCTGCATATATGTCTTGTCTCCCATTCAGGACACCCTCCTGTGTTTCCTCCTGGCTCCACCCTCCCCACTTCCCAAGAGCCAGAATTGTGCCCCCTGGCACTGCTTCCCCCTCAGGGGGGCACCTGCCACCACACATTCCTGCGTGGGCAAATAGTGGGAAAGGCTGCAGGAGACTATCACCCAGCTGCCCTCTCTAGTGTCCCCTTCCCTGTGGCCAGTGGCTTTGGTTCCTTTTACTCCCCCTGCATTTATCCTCCTGCCCGCTCCTGTTTCAGTGCCAACTGAGCTTTGGCTTTGACCCTTGAGGAACATCCATCCACTCCTCCTGGAAGCCCAGCCCTGCTTCCACTTCCAGTGACCTTCCCTGTCACAGCGAGCTCAGGCAGGGGCTCCTCGTTTGGCCAAACCAGTTCTGCCTCAATATAGAGTACAGGGTTTGCCCAGCTTGGTGAAGGATTTGGGCACCTTACATGTTAGTCGAGGCAAAACAACTTCATTTTGATTGAAAAATCTTTATTCACATCACATGAATCGTATCACATCCCACCCTTTGCCCTTTATGCATAAAATACTGGTAAAAAGGTTTTTTCCAGAGGCAAGTTCATTTCCACAGTGTCCTCTCAGGAGGGAGAGTTCATCCCACAGCCGGAACACTTGCTGTGCCACCCAAGTTCAGAAGCAGAACAGCTTTGCCAAAGAAAACTGAGTCTTTAGGAAGAGAAGAAGCTTTAGAGAGCTACAGCAGCAATGTCTGTGAAGTCACCAGGGTCTCAGCTGTCTCCTGTCAGCTGGGATCTCGACCTTGCCTGTGCTCTTTCTGGTGCACACTGTGATGACAAGAGGCTTTGAGGGCTTTGTGAATAATTTTGGACTTAACATGTAGCACAAACTTCAAGTTGCATGTCATCAAATCCAGGTTCCCAAGTGGTTCTCTCAAGCCCCGTATCTCACCTTTAGACACAGTGACCAACAAGGACACTTTGCTTACAAAAAGGAAATTAACCTGCACAAGAACAAGGAGATTCTGCAAGGGCAAAATAAATTAACACAAAACATGTATTAAAATGCCAAGCTAGTCTCAACATTAGAAAAAAATCCATTCCCAATTATTTTAGGGCTGAAAAAGGAAACAAATTGGCTCAAGTCCCACCTTGGTGTAAGACAAATCCTGCTACACCAGGTCACAACTCTATCAACTAAACTGTCAAATTCCATCCTTTAAACTAAACTATGAAGTTGAAAAATCAAAGTGGAATTGGACTAGTTTATCAGAAAGATATTTGCCAGTGATCCCTTAGGAGGTGCCCAAGGGATCTGAGAGACAATCTCATCTATCAGATTTCATATTTAACATAAATTTGATAGATTTGAGATTCAGTTTAAAGAAACAGTAAGACATGATCTATCACTGCAGATTTCCTCTTTTCCTTTTAATTCCCTAGTTCCTCAAATGAAAACCAGTTTTCGGTCTGCTCATGTGTTTCCTTGGGAAAGCCCAGCAGACCAAGGAACACAAAGCACATCAAACACTCCAGAAGCATCAGACACACTGAGGAGCACAAAACAGTCGGAAGGTGGGGAGCTGCCAAGCCTGTGATCCAAGTGGGAGCTCTAAAGCTTTGCCTCAGCACACGGGGCACTGGGTCCTTTTGTTATGCAACTATAAACAAGAACAGCTAAAGCCCTTTTCACTTGCCCGTATTAACTGAAATTCACTTTTTTACAGTTATTGGTGTCATTTATACAAAATTGCAACAGGCTACATAAAAAAGCAAAGCTTATTTCAGTAAAGAAAGGACACAGAATTTGTCATCTGTTACTAACTAGAAGACCCACAACCATTCCACACAGAAACAAATGAAGAAGTCACCAGGATTATGCCACATCATCTGAATATGACACTACTGTGCCATCATCAGACATCCAGAAATGCTCCAGAGTTGTACACAAACAGGGAGAGGAATGTATCTGAAAGGTTGATTGAGATGGATTATGCCCAGGAACTCAGGATGGCCATTCCCGAAGAGCCCCTGCAGCTTGCAGGGGAAGGAGTGTCATATTTAAACAATGAGGCATTTCAGAAGAGTGAATGTTTAACTGTGGACAGACACCTACAACCATGGAGACATATCTAAGCTGTCAGTTCTGGGAGGTGACAAGCATGAGGTCTCTCACAGGAATTCTGCAGGTAGAAAGGGTAGAACAAGGGACACCCTAAGGATGAGGGACGTTTGCCATCCCAAGGCACCTAACTTCAGGAAACTTCTAATAACTGATGTGAAATGAGAGGACTGTTGCCCTGATCCCATTGTTATTCCGAATGTAAGGAATCGTGGAGAGCCTGTCCCAGCTCCATGAACATAGAAACCACAAACCTGAAGGTGAGGACAGCCTGCATTTGCCCGCTCCATCAATCCAAAACACACCAGTTGCAGAGCATAAAATCCCAACCAGCCCTCTTAGGAAATGAAGTCAACTCACCAAAACATGACGTGCAGGAGCACCACAAATGCCAAAGGTTTTGAGAGGCTGGGTTTGGAACTAGGCACAGTGAGATGACACAGGCCTGATGTAGAGCAGTCAGCTTCCACTGGGAAGCAGCAGGACATAAAAAGGTACCAAAACATACCTCAGGTAAGAGGAGAGGCCTTTCAGCCTAAACCAGGAAGATTTGTGCTGGTTAATATTGTATGAGTAAACAAAAAAGTCAGCTGAGGTTCCTCCTGTGCTTGTAGCCCCCCTCCCACAAACCCTCCTCCCTCCAGGCAGAACAGTGAGTTTGCTGTTGCAAACCCTGCATCTCCTGCCTCCTTTTGTACATGTACCCCATAGGACAATGCAGAATTCTCCTCAGTGGCAGTCCTGCCTTTCAAAATACAGTGACCATGGTCACGTCTAGTTCACAACATCTTGGGCTCTGCCTTTGCATCCTCTTACCCCTGTCTACCCAAAAGGACACTCCTACCTTGCAATACAGGCGGGCAAAATTTTCACTTCTGCTTCATATTTAACCAGATTCTTAAACTTGCAGACAACAAGATGAGAGCAGTAAAGGCTCAGGGTATTATTATAGGGTCTTTCTCTACAGTGTCCACAGACACTGATGTGTTTTCCACATCACAGTGTGTCCAAGTGTGATTTGTAAACTCTGAAGTTGCCAGGAGGGGTTCGTCCAAAGCAGCACTCGGAGGAAAGGACACTTTGGAGGACAGTCCAGTCCATCTTGCTCCAAAAGACCATCTCCCCCAGCAGAAGTTCGGTAACTCATGTCAGGTACTGCACGACGAGAAACATAATCACACAAGTCAAAATCATCCCCCCAATCATGAAGTATTTATCTTGAAAGGCTCGCTTCTCAATCAGCCGCATGACTGTGTTGGACAAGCCCAACATGTTGGCAACATCCAGGATCTTCTTGTGAGTACCCTAAGAATACAACAACAGCAAAGAAACAATTAACCTCATGGTCCAACACTTCTTATTCCACAGTCTAAGGATATTTCATCATGGATTGCAAGTGATGAATTCTTATCGATGGAACTTGGTATCAGGCAATAGTTCCTACAATGCAGGAGGAGATGGTCACAGGACTCTGTAATTAACTTGATGTTGCGACTAATTAATTGACACACATGAACAGGAATGTGGTTAAACATACAAAACAATCTGTCTGGCCAATGACATCATAAAGAGCATCAGAGAAAATGCAACCTCCCCAGAGGCACTGAGAGTTTTTCTGGTCCTTTTCCAGACACAGTCTACCAAGAGTTAGAAGCTTCTTGATCAGAGAACCTTTCTTTCAGAACTTCTCTCCTGTTGAAGAACAGTTTGCACCAACAAGAAATTGGAAAGAAGGTCCAGAAGCTTGTAATGCTCATGGTAAAGTGCAATGAAAAGGTGTTAATGTAATTTCAAGAAACCCTTCTGAAGAAAAGCACTGAATCATAGAATGGTTTGGGTTGGAAGGGAACCTTTAAGGTCTCTTGGGAGGAGATTGTCCTGCTCTGCTCTGGTGCAGCCTCACCTTGGGCACTGCCTGCAGGTTTGGGCACCACAATATAAGAAGGACATCAAGGTATTGGAGAGTGTCCAAAGGAGAGAGAAGAAGGGGAAGGGTCTGGAAGGGATGACTTAAGAGGAGTGGCTGAGGTCACTGGGATTGTTCAGACTGGAGAAGAGGAGGCTGAGGGGTCACCTCATGGCAGTCTGTGGTTCCTCAGGAGTGGAAGAAATGGGGCAGGTCCTGATCTCTTCACTCCTTTGACCAGTGACAGGACTGGGGGAAATGGCAGGAAGCTGAAGCAGGGGAAATTTTTCATCCAGAGGGTGGTTGAGCACTGAAACCAGCTCCCCAGGGCAGTGGTCACAGCACCAAGCCTGCCTGAGTTCAAGAAGCCTTTGGATGATGCTCTCAGGCACATGGGGTGATTCTTGGGGTGCCCTGCACAGAGACAGTAGTTGGACTCGATGGTCCCTTCCAATTCAGTATATTATCATGCTATGATTTTTAAAGTTATCCAGTTCAACCCCCCTGCAGTGAGCAGGGACACCTTCAACTCTGTCAGGATGCTCAGAGCCCCATCCAACCTGACTTTGAATGGTCCCAGGGATGGGGAATGTACCACCTCTCTGGGCAACCTGGGCCAGTGTCTTACCATCCTCACTGTAAAAAAATTTCTTCCTTCAACATGCCTGAACCTACTGTCCTTCAGTTTGAAACCACCACCCCTTGTCCTGTCCCTGCAGACCCGGCTACACAGTCCCCCACTGCAGGAAGGCTCACACCTCAGCTTTGTTTCACTGCTGAAGCAGTTGATATGATTAAGAATGTGGATCCCACCAGTTCCCACATGAGCAGGAAGGACATCACAGATGAACAGGGTGAGCTGCAGACTGGAGGTACCAGGAACTGAGCTTGAGGAGTCACTTGGGCTGTATGGCATGAACTCCTACTGTACTTGAGGGCAACAAAGGAAACTGAAATATGGGCAGGTAGGTGAACTCTGGGCACAGGTTAGAGCTGGAAGGGAAGGAGGGAGAGAACTCATAGGTGCAGTGACGGTGGTACAGGCAGGTGAGAAGGACCCTTCTGGAGAAGCTAGACAAATGGGTAGCAGAGTGATGGGCAGGCAGAGGTCCTGCCCCAAGCATCTCAGCTCCCAGCACATGGTCAGGCTCTGGCCAGGACCAGCCCCCATCCTACCTACGAGTGCACCAAGGTGGGCACTGCTGGAGAGCAGCCCAGTTACATCCTGGTGGTAAGAGTGGACCTGTCCTCTCAAACTGACTTCTGGGTGCAAGTCCTTCACAGAACACCCTGCCTCAGAAAGTAGCAAGACTAAAGTTATTTCTTGTCTGAGCAAGGTCAAGATTCCCACCACAATGCTCTACTACCATGCTTTAAAAGGAAAACTCTCTAGTTCCTGTTGTCTCAGTCCACCAGATCTTTGGTACCAAAAAAATAAAAAGGTGAAATTTGGGAGCTGAGTAGCAACTTGACTTAAGATCAGAAAAGCTCTCTGAGGACTGATTTGCAAGACCAAATTAGGTAACTAGTTTCTTCTGTAGAAGGCTGGGTAGGTATTCAGGCCCTTTGCTGAAATCACTTTATGTCTCTGCTAATAAAACACCAGCACATTTTTCACCTTTATCTCATACAGCTCACATTAAATCCCTTGATCCTGTGCTCTCAAGTTCAGCATTTTTCCTGTCCCTGGAACAATCTTTTCACTTCAGAACAAAACAAAACCTTGCTTGGAAAAGAGAAACAAAAAAAAATAAAAATGAAGCCTTAAAATTAAAGCAAACAATAAAAAATTGAAGACTGTTCAATTCTTGCTGTCCGTGAACAGTGGAACAACTAGAACAATTAAAGCCTTGTGGCAGTTTGAGAAGACTTGGTTCACATTTGTCTGTTTGCATCCAACATCCAAGAAGAAACCTAGATTAACATGTTGCGAACTAGCCCATTTGTCTTGGCAAGCTCTATCTATGCTAGCTGCTTCTGCCAGATTGGTAAATGGGCAACAAAGCCTTTGATAGTGTAAGAAAAGCTTAGAGGAAAGGAACATAAACAGATCCACTAGTGAGAATAAATATCTCCTGAAAACTAATGAACATGAAGGGCCCAAAAGAAGAGGCTATCAGCAGCAGTGGGCAGAGACCCTCCAACAACTTTACTATTACAGTTCTGACCTGAAGGATCCTTGACTGGCCACCCACTGGCAGCTGAGGCCAGGCATGCCTACATTTGCAAATCCCATGATGATGGGAAGATGATGCAGCCCATCATGATCTGACAGGAATCCAGGCAATTGATTGCAATCTAACTAGTGAAAGAATCAAGACAAGAATGCTGTCACCAGCAAGAAACAGTATTTCCTCCCAGTCTCTCTCAGGCAGCAGTGTTTCTATATCGCATTTGTACATGGTTAAGTTCTCCTCATCCGTCATGTTTGCACTTCCTTCTCAGGAACCCTCCAGAAACCAAGTGCTTCAGAGACTACCTTGAATCAGTGATTTCCAGCTCAGCTCCTTGTGTGAAGCACAGGTTCACTCAGGCATTTGAATGACTGGATGCTCCAAACCAACATGATCAGCCACCAAGGCTCTCCAGTGCTGAACACAGGACAAACATCCTCTACCCCTGTACCCAATGGTGGTCCTGACCAGTGCTTTGGAAATACCAGCTAGCCTGGACCTTTGTGATGGGGATAGGAAGGACCTGGCTTGTGAACTGCAAGAGACATAAGGATTAAAATAAGAGCCTTGCAACTCTGTCCAGTGAAGACACTAGTTCTGGTAATCCTAGGAAGAGGTACCATGGTACTAGGAGTTGCTCCAGCAAAACGCCTGTGGACCACAAGCGTGAGACCCCTGTGAGTGTGCCATGACTGCCTCTAGAGGCAGTGAAACCTCCTCTGCAATCCACAGGCCTTGAGCTGTGATTCACCTGATCAAATGCAGGGTCAAAAATGCCTCAGTCCTCTGGCAGATACCTCCCAAAACTAAGCAGACATTAGTCATCCCAATCAGAAGATGGATGCAACAGCAAAAGGGATTCCCTCACATTTTGCAGAAATCCAGTTTTTTCCCATCACACAATTTTTCTTTAAAAATCTTCTGTACCTTTAAGGTAGTTATCAAAATTTAACACCAGTCTGAATGGTTTTTAAAAGACAAATAGTTGCTACTAAGGGACATGAAGAAACACAGCTGTCATTAGCAGTATCCAGGGAGAGAATATTCCTGAGGTGCATTAGATCTGAGACACTATTACCCTGATTACTAACTGTAGGCACAAGTACTTTATTCCAGCCTTGTGATTGCTCTGAGTGTTGTTCATCTGAATCAACACCTGTCTTCCAACCAGCCATTATTTCCCATGCTCCACTTGAACAAAAACCTCCAAAGAAATAAACAAACCAACCAAGCATAATGGAACAAAACATAACATTGAGCATTCCAGATAGCAACTACTGTGCAGGTGAAGGTGCTAGGCCATCCAGCCACAAAAGAGCTTAAAGATGTTCCTAGCAAGATGATAAAATGTAAAGATGTCAGGTTTATAGGCCTTTCCCAGCGTGCTCAGGGTGAAGCAGTGAACTGAAACAGACCCACATATTTATTTACGTAGCTTAGTCACCATCAATGCCAAAAAAAAATGTGGGGTCTTCTTGGTAAAAAATTATGCCCCCACCTTTAATGTCACTCTCTGGTCCCTCAGGCCCTGCAGGATGTTGGTCCCACTGCCAATAAGATCATCCATGCCACGATGGGCATTCTGGAGGGATTCGTTAAACTGCAAAGTTTCGTCGATCGGGATGGTGGTGTCAGAGTCCTGTGGGGGAAAGGCAGGGTCTTGGTTACCTGCTCATGACACTGCCCAACACAGACAGAACCAGAACAAGAACATGCAGAAACAAATCTTGACAGGACTTGAAAGATTATGTTTGAAATGGGTTTTTTTCACAAGGATATAAATATAACTAAATTTGAATGAAAAAAAGTCATTTAGAGAAGCCCACAGGAAGGAAGCCCAAAGGCAAAGCTGATCAGCTGCTCAACTGCAATGAGATCTTGGAGGAGAAAATGCCAGATTACAAGCGGACAGTTTTTAATAATCTCAGTTTATGACATGGGCAGGAAAGGATATTGCAAGAGAGAATAACAAAACTAACAGATGTTTAACAAGGAGTAATTCATCACTGCAAGTGATGCATCATTCTGAGTTGCATCACTGCAGCTTTTGAAAGATTTAATACCATGTTCGTAAGTGACAAAAGTCTGGCAAAACACAGTGTCCAGGACACAACACTCTAGAAACTCCTGCTTACAAGATACAAATTTCTGGTGGTGAGGGCAAGGAGATGTGAACTGAGTTCACTGAGGGCCTGACTCACTTGCCACCCAGGCCTCATACAAATAGAAAACTAACATTGTTCTAGAAAAGCTGCATTAGTGTCCTGGTTTGAGCCAGGATGAAGCCAATTTTCCTTTTACTGATTATTCTTCCTTCAGTAAGATTTCTTTTAACTAGTAGTAGAGCATTCCAATTAAGGCTGATAACACTGGCACGTGTTTCTAACTGCTGGGGCAAGGTGGCACCTTCACTCTGCCGGCTCAGACACTACGGGGAGATCTACGACCCCCCTGTAAGCGGCTGAGTTAGACAGACAGCAAAACTGGCCAGAGATATTCCATTCCATGGAGCTACGTAAGCTCAGAGGAAGGTCAGAGATCACAGAAGACAACTTCCTTCCTGCTTCTTCTTCCCTTCTCTTCTGTCCATGACTGGCGTCTGGGGAGGACTCCGTCCATCCCTCACCGTGGATCCCCAGGCTCCAGCTCTCCTGGCCCTCATCACTCTCTGCTTTTCTCCAGCAGCTCTGGAATTCTTTGGGACTGTTCCCAGCTCAGGAGATGCTGTGGGAGTTGCTGGGGGTGGGGGGAGGCGAGAGGCTTTTGCACATACCTGAACATATTTGTATGTAATTGTATCTATTTTCTTATATCATTAGTGTTTAATTAAAGCTGTGTAGTTTAGTTTTCAATCCAGCCAAGTCTCTCTCTTTTTCTCTCTCTCCTTCCCTACCAGGGTGGGAGGGGATCGAGAGCATTGTTGTTGATCCTGAGTCAAACAGTGACAATTAGCTCAATTAGAAACTGGGAATCTTGACATGGAAATAACTGGATAGAATTCTGTAACTGGGTTTGTACAAGAGGTCAAAGGATGCAGATCACTTGTGTCTTTCAGAGGCTGCCAGGTTAATCTTCTCTGGACACCATTCCACCAAAAGAGTCATGGTAACAGCTCATCACTCTCAGTGCTTTGTTCATAAAGATAAGTGTGGACACGCTGGGTCACCTGCTCCCATGGCCCCACAATGGCAAGAGTTACTACAACACAGAACTGGTGTTTAGAGCAGAAAGTGGTTCATGCCCCGCGTGTGTCAGCTGCAGATTACAGGTGTGTAACAACACCAGCCTTGCTCTGGGGAGACTCTGGTGATTATTGTGAAAAAAACCCAACAAAACAGTTAACACAGGAACAATATGTAGGATCCAGAGTTGGGTGCTGTGTTGGGTGTTCTGCTCACTGTGACAGGCTGAGGAGCAAAGGACAGAGCTGTTGGCAGCTGCAGGGGCAGTTACTGGATGAAGAAGCCATGAGAGCACAGACATCTCTTTGATCACAGCTGAAGCACTAAGGGTGAAACAAAGGTGGTCTTAGGTGAGTCTGCAGAGCAGAAGCATCTGAATAGCCTCTATTTCAGATATTAATTAAAACTTCCAAGCAGAAGGGACTCCATTTTCTCCAGAAGGAGCTTGCAGGGGGTATTTAATACAGATTTTTGACCCTCCTCACAAGTGGACTAGATGGCATCATATTTTTTATTTGGTGTGAGGGGTTTCCTCCAAAATGGTACAAGGAAAGGCTTTAAAGGTAAGGACCACACTTATCTTTGAATTAAGCAAATTGTTGAGAACTGCTACAGCTTTCAAGAGCTGTTGTGTATGGAAGAGTGATTTGTTTAGGATGTCTCTACCAAAAAAAACACCAACAAAACCGAAAAAAAACCCCAACCAAACAAAACCAAAACAACAAAAAAAACCCCAACCATACAAAAAATGGCAAACAAAAACAAAGAAACAAAAAACCCTCAAGAAATAAAAAAAATGCTACCTTTTGAGTAACAGAAAAATGAAATCTGAAAGCAAACTATTCAGAGCAATAATTCCTCTAGGAATTTGCAATGGGGTGGACTTCCCAGTGGAGGAGCTGAAAATTAACAAGAACAGGTGGAAAGATATTCTTGTCATTAAAACTTTTGAACCACTCCCAGGTGAAAAGCAAGGGTTGCTTATTTCCCCAGTTGTGCGATTTATATTTGGACAAATTAAAGCTTGCTGATATCTACTGACAGGGTGTCTGCAAGCCAGACATTTTACAAATCTCAGGATTTGACAGACATTTGACACAAATCCAAGTAAAATGTGTACTTTGGTACCCACCTCACTGACACTTTTGAAACTGCTATATAAAATCAGGTAGAACTGCACCGAGTAAAATAGAAGCAGCAGTTTCTAGCATCTTTTACTACTCCCTCTTGACAGACCAACTTCTCCTCATGAGACAGTTGTACTTTTTCAACACATATTGTTATTCTTTTCTATCTTTATACTGTTTACATCTCACAGCAGCAAACAGAGTCATGCCTACATCTTTCTTGAAACTTCCCTGAAAGGCTGCAGCTTCTATAACACAGAGATCCAAAATTAAAGGGTATTTACATTGGTGGTGAATGTTCGTGCAAGCAGCTCTTCCCGCTGCCGCTCCTGCTGCTCCCGCACGTAGCGGCGATGCTGGAAGTTCCTCAGAGCTGTCTGCAGGTGCTGAGCATCGTACTTCAGCTGGTCAACTCGTCTAGGAAGGATCAACAACAGGAAGACATTCCCAGGGATAAATTACCATTCCTTTCTGGTGTTTTTTATATGAACGTTTACAGATTCACAGTATCAGCATGGTTGGAAAAGACCTCTAAGATTACTGAGTCCAACATCAACACAGAAAACCCCCCATGCTCCCTGGAGCACGTCCTGAAGTGCCACATGCACACGTTTCTGGAAGTCCTCCAGGGATGGTGACTCCAGCCCCTCCCTGGGCAGCCCCTTCCAGGGCCTGACCACTCTTTGGGCACAGAAATTCTTCCCAACATCCAGTCTGAACCTCCCCTTGCCCAGCTTCAGGCCGTTTGCTCTGGGCCTGTCGTTTTCCACTTTGGAGAAGAGGCGAACTCCCCCCCTTCCCCACAACCTCCTTTCAGGTAGAAGGCAGTAAGGTCTCCCCTCAGCCTCTTCTCCAACTAAACAATCCCAGTTCCCTCAGCCTTATAGGACTTGTTCTCTAGATCCTACACCAGCTTGGCTATTCTTCTGTGGACACACTCCAGCACCTCCATGTCCTTCTTGTCTAAATTAGCAGCAACAAATAATAAAGAAAGACAGCTTCTACTTCCCTAGAAGATAAAGGACATTCAATGTTAGTCTTAAATTCCAGATTTAGATCTTCTGTACCTCATTTTCCCACTACACAGGTGATTATTTAACTAGAGGCTAACAACAGAATGTGAAGCAAAATTCTTGAGCTGTCTTGGACACTCCCACAACCAGTCTCTTTAGGAATTCTAACAATATTCCTCATTTAGCACAGATTTGGAAACAGGATTTGGACAGTTTCTATTTCATGACCCTTAAATGATTAAGCTTTCGAGTTTCATTAATTGGCACCATGTTCTTAAGTTTGAGTTTTCAAAGGAGTTTAAAACTCAGTAGGCAATCACAGAATCATAGAATGGTTTGCATTGGAAGGGACCATCTTATGCCAACCCCTCTACATGGGCAAGGACACCTCCCACCAGACCAGGTTGCTCCAAGCCCCATCCAACCTGCCCTTCAACACTGCCAGGGATGGGGCAGCCACAGCTTCCCTGGGCAACCTGGGCCAGGGTCTCACCACCCTCACAGCAAAGAACTTCTTTCTAATGTTTACATATTGTACAATACAGGAGACAACTCCATTGCTCCATTGGGCTAAACCAAATGATGTCTGGAACTCCAGTGTCATGAAATCCACCCCTAAGCTTGGATCTACAAAGGCATTTTGGGACTACATGCAGGGATGTGATTTTGCCTCTGTGCCTCAATTTTGCTACTGCAGAGCACAGGCTTCAGTTACACAAACACTAAAGATTTCACTCAAATCAAAATGGCTTCAATGAATGAAAATAGTTACAAAGAATGTACTATCAGAGCAAAAAAAGGTGAACTTACAGCTTAGCATTCTGTCGCTTATTGGGAGGCTCTTTGCTGGACAGGATTTCCAGACGCTCTAAGTTGCTGAAGATACTGTCTATCCTCGCCTGGATCTCATTTTCTACTACTGCAAGGAAATAAAAATGTCATTTGATTTGAATTAAAGAACTGCAGTATGAGTGAAGGTCAAAGCTCCAAAGCATTCAAGCCGGTATTTAAGACCTGACTGATGCAAATCCTTACTGGATAAAAAAAGTTAGGTAACTGAGAACCATACATACCAAGAAAAGCCACTTCTTAACTCAGGAATTTGAGACTCTTGCCTTTATCTCCACCTCTGAGTTAGGAAAGTCCCTGTTACTTCAATATCTGGGCCCCCTTCCCTATTATCATCTCCATGTATCAGGATTTAAAGCTTTTACATTCTCCCCTGCAGCCCCTTCCTGTTTCTTCAGC